TTCTCTCTTAATGAAGGCAAGCGGGTAAGTTGAGTCAGATAAATTTAATGTACAATGGCCAGTATAAGAGATTGTAACATCAGGAATAGTTGCATTTAATTACTCATGACAGGGTAGGTTTTCCTAGAAAAACACTTTATTGCATTTCCATTCAGAATTTAATATTCCTTGGATTTTGAAGGGAGCTTTGATGGCTGAGCAGTAGAGAACTGCACTGCCCACCAAAGGCCACATGACGCGACTCCACCAGCTGCTTCACGGAGAAGGATGGGAGGGCACAGAGCTGACTTGAAGTTATACATGTAGCACTCCACTGGCAGAAAATAGAACTGCATCAAGAACTGAATCAATGTTATACATGAGATACTACTACTCTAGATCGACTCTGTGTAAAATAAATATGATAGTCTCATGAAGGAACAGTAATAAAATTAAAATCACTTAATAAACATTTCTTCCAAAGAGAAGTGCTAATTTTTTTTTGGCATTTTATTACTTTTCCCATTTGTACTGTGTTTCTTAAGATCATTCGCATACATTGTGACTTATAAAGTTAATCACTGTTGATCTAAGCCCACTATTACTCCTTCTTTTTAGATTCCCACTGAATCTTTCCTAATTATTTCACCCTCTCCCTCCAACCAACAAACTCTGTGATTGTTGTTGCTGTTGTTGATTGCCTTTGAGTCGAGCATGACTCACAGCGACCTTATGCACAAATGCCTAAAGCCCTTCTACAACTATCAACATTTATCAAATTTAATATGGTTTCTGGAGGCAAATTGTTTAGGAACTGGATGCTATTCCTGCTTCCAAACCTGTCAGAGAATGTTATTGGTTGAGTCACCTGCAATGCATAGCGACCCTATGTAGAGAAGTTCTGAATCCTTCCCTGCCCTGAGCCACTCTCACTAATTCTCACACACCAACCCCCACCACCCCAGTTTCTGTATCGATCAGTCTCATCTGGGCTCTCCCTCTCCTGCTCTGTCCGGCCATCCTTCTGAGCATGATGTCCTTCTCCAAGGACCGATCTCTCCTGGCCACGTGTCCAAACCGAGACATATAAATATTTATCACAACTCCTGAACTGGGGAAAAATTGCCTTACGTTCACCAATGTAGTAAAAGACTGCAAAAATATGCTCTGGGTAAGAGTATCTACTGAAATAAAGAGTAAATAAAATATTTTTTTTCTTCTATATAAAGAAAATACTATGTTTCTTCCATGTCTTCGGAGGCGTGGATGGTGATTGTAGCTGTATCTCACCTACTTTGGGCATGTTGTTAGGAGGGCTAGTCCTTGGGAAAGGACAGTCATGCTTGAAAAGATGGAAGGTCAATATAAGACAGGAAGACCCTCAATGAATTGACAGACTGTAACAATGGGCTCAATAATATCAGAGATGATGAGGATGGTGCAAGATAGGGCAGGGTTCAGATCACTTATTCATAAAATCACAATGAGTCATAGTCGACTCAAGGGCACATAACAACATTTTAATGTAAATGTTCCATTTTCTCCAGCTGAAACACTAAAGTAGCCTAAACAAAAGGACTCTTTGAAGTGGAGTTATGATACCAGTTTATGGATGAAGCATTGAATAGAGTTGTTTGTGGGAGGAAATGTCCTTTTGTCATGACCATAAAAAGGGCAAATTACAGTACCGTTATTCTTAAGAGAAACTGTACTTTCTTTATTCCCAAGGGGATATTAGTCCATGAAACAAATTTGCAGCTTATTTGGCAGTGTTAGCTTTTATCGGGCCTTTTAAGGGTGTTGAATGATTACCCAAGAGATCACACAATAAAAGTTGTTGTGGGATAAAGTAACTCTATCCATCCAGCATCTTTATTGGAAAAGCTAGGTGAATCCATTTAATATTGCTTAAAGTATATCACATAGAGAGCTCCATTTAAAGGTGAGTGGTCTTCTCGCTTGTGCTACTTTTGCTATTCTGAGGTGTTGTGGTGCCCCGATTGCTTATCCTAATGAATGCTGTGGCATAGGCTAAGTGTTTGAATAATTCACTCTCAGGAGGCAAGTTTCAGTTTCTGTCACAGCAAAATGCCAAGATAGTGATTTTTACAGGCAACTCTGAGAGTGGAACAAATTTAAGTCAGAATGAAGTTATCACGTTATATTTGCATCATTAATGTCTTTTCATAAATCAGAATAATTCTCTTCTCCATCCACTCTGAATAAATGAGCTTAGAAAATCAAATAGAGAATGAAAATACAACCTATACTGAGGGCGTTATCAGTTTTTTGAACGTTTCCCTCAACATTATAAAATTTTCTTAGTGAAATTTAGCCTTCAAAATACAAAGAAATGAATTTCAGGTGAGAACAATGGTTATCATTTTCAGTGTTCTAAATTACAAATTTAATTTATTTTTTAAACTTTTTAAAAAAAACCTTTTTATTGTGATTTCTTAAAAGATAATTTTATAGATCTCTAATATAAACTTTTTAACTGTTTTAGCAAGAACATGAAATTTGTAATGGATCAATGAGTGTTCCAAATAATCAATGCAATAATAACTTTTGCCATTTGTTAGTTTACAAAGAGAAGATGCCATTCAAGTTTACTGTAAGCACAGTGTATTGTTTTTGGAGGTTTTTTTCCTAGGGACATCAAAAGGCTGTCTTTCAGGTTCACATTGTTGTTGTTAAGTGCAGTCAAATCACCTGTAACTCATGTTGTGTGTTGTTGCTATGTGCCACTCATAGGGACCCTATGTACAATAGCCCTAAACTCTGCTCTGTCCTGTGCCAATTGCACTGTCTTCAACACACCCATTACCCCACTCACTGAGTCAATCCACCTAATAGAGGGTCTTCCCCTCCTGTGCTGTCCCTCCACTCTTCCAAGTATGATGTCCCCTCCAAGGACCGGTCCCTCCTTACAACTTGTCCAAAGTATGTCAGAGGAAGCCCAAGAATCCTTGCCTCCAAGGAGCAGCCTGGTTTAACTCTTTCCAGGATGAATCTGTTTGTTTTCTTGGCAGTCCATGGTACATTCAATATTCTCCTCCAGCACCACAGCTCAAAGACATCAATTCTCCTTCTATTTTGCCTAGTCATTGTCCAACTCTCTGCCACATAACAAGTGATTGCAAAGACCAAAGCCTGTATCAGACTCACTTTAGTCTCCAGAGTGACACCATTGCTCTTCAGTACCCTGGAGAGGTCAATAACAGCAGACTTTCCTATAGCAATACATTTTTTTTATTTATTTCCTAGCTACTGGTGCCAAGAGTGTTGAATGTGGAGCCAAGCAGACTAAAGTTGTTAACTATCTCAATCTCTTCACCATCCATCCTGATGTTGCCAATTGGTCCAGTGGTGAGAATCTTTGTCTTCTTGACATTGAGCCTCAATCCATACTGAAGGCTGCAGTCCTTGACCCTCTGCAGCAAACACTTCAGGTCCTCTTCCATTTCAGCAAGCAGGGTTGTGTCATCTGCATAATGCAGATTGTTAATATATCTTCCACCAATCCTGGTGCCAATCCAATATACAATACCTCTGAAGCCTGCCCTGTCATGAGCCAATCTAATTGTCTCTGACACACCTACCCAATTACCCTAGTCACTGTGTCAATCTATCTCATCCTGGGTTTCCCTCTTCTGTGTTGTCCCTCCACCCTTCCAAGCATGATATCCTTCTCCAAGGATAGTCCCTCCAGAAAACATGCCAAAAGTATGTTGGAGAGAGCTTCAAATCCTTGCCTCCAGAGTCCAACTTTGTTTCACCCTCACCAGGAGAGACCAATTTGTTCTCTTGGCAGTCCTTGGTATGTTCAACACTTATCCGACACCACAACTCAAAGTCATGGACTCTTCTGCCATCCATTGACATTACCCAGCTGTCTGAGGCATAACAGGTAACTGTAAAGATCATGATCTGGGTCAGGTGTACTTTAGTCTCTAGACTGACATTGTTTGTCTTCAGTACTCTAAAAAGCTTCTAACAACAGATTTTTCTTATACAATTTTTCTTTTTTAAATCACAATAGTCTATTTAAAAAATACAAATATAGTGTTTTTCACACAATTTCATTCCCATTTCCTTAAACCCCCATCAAATTGCGTGACTCCATGATTAGTTCCCCCCCCATCCTCACCCCTCTGCTTCCACCCTCCCCACCGACTTGGATCCTCATGCTTATGCTCCTTCAGCAATAATGGTCTTATACAGTATTTGTCCTTATCGGATTGAGTTCACTCACCATAATGCTCTCCAGTACCTCCCAACTGAGGTAATAAATTACAAAATGACAAAATTGCTCCTGTGTGCTGAGTAGTATTCCACTGTGTGAATGTACCATAACTTCTCAATCCATTTGATTGTGGCTGGAAAATTTGTCTTTTGGTTTCCTGACTGCTGGGGCCATGTATGTTGAGTGTGGAATTGAACAAGTTGAAATTGTTAACAATCTAAATGTCTTCTAAGATTAGTAGCAGAATACAGTCGTTCAAGCAAGGCACCTTCCAAAATGTGCTCTCAGGCTCCTTCGCCTTGAGCTTTGAGGCTTCTAACCAGTGCTACAAAGCTCGCAGTTATACCAATTATGACTCTTCTCACCTGCCCACATCCACTCCTAGTCCTTCAACAAACTTAGTCAAAGGCTCTTAGCTCTGGTTCTACTGGGGATGGCAATCCCAAGGTCAGCTCTGTTTTGTATTGAGTCTTAGGTCCCCTGTGACAGCCTCTAACACTGCTGCTGTAGCTTTATCTGGCACGATAATATCTGGCAGGGCGTGCACTCCATATCTGGTGGTGAGACTCTCAAATCTGCCATAATGTCTGTGTGAGCAGAGTTTTGATAAAGATACCCCCCAACCCCTACCCCCGCCGCCACATTATTTTATTGTATGTTTACTTGGGGAAGTGGGACCATCTTACTCGGCAGTGATATTGACAGGTATAACTTGTGGTATGAATAATTAATCAAAATGCTATTCTCTTTGATGATGTATTTGTCTTGTTTTCAGATGCCAGCTTTGCAATTGCCATCTCTCAGGAGCTTTGAATGAAACCTGTCACTCAGTCACAGGCCAGTGTTTCTGTAAACAATTTGTCACTGGTTCAAAGTGTGATGCCTGTGTTCCCAGTGCAAGCCATTTGGATGTCAATAATCCACTGGGTTGCAGCAAAAGTAAGTGAATTCTGGCCTCATGCTGCATATGAAACAATATCATGCTGGTAAGAGGGAAATGCTATATATCTTCTTTGTCCTCAACCCTTCCACCTAGAACACTTCAGAAAGATTTAAGTACACTCTAGGGATTTTATGTATGAAATTACTATATGCATATGGCAGTTCAAATAGACTAACTTTGAGGGAGAAACGTTAACAGACTTCTCTCCAGCCTTGAAAAATCCAATGGAAAATTACTATAAATCATAAGTGACTCAATGGCAATGAGTTTGGGTTTAAGATATCCATGATAAGAAGCTGTGCTGCAATCCAGAAGGCATGCAGATTGAATCCATCAGCTGCTCTGTAAAAGAAGGATGGACAATCTCCTCTTATGAGATTAACTGTCTCTGAAAATATGCTGCAGGGTCAGCTATGGGTCTGTTCCAATTTCTGTGGTACTAAACAACAAATATATAAAAATATATATATAATATATAAAAAACCACACCACATTAATTTCATTATATATGCATATATAATGAAATTAATGTGTGGTATTTTTGTTTGTTTGTTTGTTTGTGTTTTTTTTCTTAATGACTCATTGCTGTTCAGTTGATCCCAACTCAAGCAACCCAGAATACTCTTTTGGATTTCAAAGACATCTTTACAGGAAGAGACTACCCATATTTTACTACACACCTGGAAGATTCAGATGGCTAACCTTTTGACCAATAGTCCGAAACATAATACTCTGTGACCAAAAGAGCTCAATTTCCTAGCTTGAACATAATGGTGAAAAATTTACAAAGGTTTGTTGAAATGACATCATTAATTGGGTGATAAAAATCCTTGCTGATCTTTTTTCTTTTTAATTTTTTTTTGTTCTTTTTCTTGCTGATCTTGAACATGGTACTTCCATTGTACGAATGATTAGGACAATCCCAGATTTATTTTGACTTATTGTACCTTGTATGTCCTTATCATCCACAAATTTTATGAGTATATAACTATTCTACTATTTACGATTGCTATCAGAACCGTGATTGTTATTATCATTATTTAGCACAACATATTATTTATTGTTTTATATTTGTTTCCTTCTGCTTTAAGCTGAGGTACTTGTTTAAAAATGTTTCATCTGAATATTTTTTTAACTTCTTGAATTAAAAAATTGCATGTTAGTATAATATCTTTGGCATCTCACCTTGACACCATCCTCTAAAAGTCTTGAACTGACCACTCAAAGTCACGTAAAGCCCCATAATTTTAAAATATTGAGGACTTATTACCCCTACTTCAGCATTGTACATCCTTAACTTGTCCAGAATTCCCAAGCAAAGCCTTTTGGGAACAGGTGGTAGGAAGCCATAGAATACCATATTGTGTGATATATGTTCTCCTAGGGATTCCCTGAGACTGTCACGAGACACAATGTTAGGAAATGTCACATCATGATAGATCCCCACAAATCAGCATGTCTGGAACTGTGCCTTGTATATTTAAGGGAGAGGGGGGAAAAAAGAAATAGAATATTGTGTCCACAGCAAATGTAGTAGATTTTCAAGCAATGAAAGTTTTAGTTAATGCTTACTGTGGTGTATTCAAGTTTTAAACTAATGTGGTCTTCAGTTGTTTTGTTTTGTTTTTTATCAGTCAAAAATCATCAGGACTCTTTAAAAGTAAAAGAAAAATTCTTTCATTGATATACAATCCCCATGCCCCACCCCCCGCCCCGAGTACACTCCACTAGGCAACCTTCATTCTGGACTCTTGTGATAACCATAATACCCTATCATATATCACTTTTAACCTGTTCTCTCCCTCATCTGTTTCAATGCAGTATACATAATTTATCCAGAGAAAAGTGCAACAACGAATGAATGGAAATACAAAATCTTTGTAAATGTTCATTAAAATTGATTTTTAAAAATAGCAGCACAAAGAAAGGGAGAACAAAAAAAATCATCAGAACTTTATTATATGCCAACTGCAAAGACACACTATTATGCTTCTCCTGGAGAAAGGAATATTAGCATTGCCTTTGGGTATAAATATATACATTTGTGTTTCAGAATTTTATTTAATATTTGTCATTCATTGATGAGCTATATAATTAATTGATTTGTGTGGAATATAAATTCTAGCCTATTCTGTTTGAATGGGAGTCATAGATCATGGTGGCATTACATAGCACCAAATTTTAGCTACTCTTGATTGGTTCTATCACAAATTTTGTATGGCAATATTGGGCATCTCCTCCAATTTTTGGTGTCCATTCTTACACATGTGACACAGTTTAAGAATTATACCCCTAGCATGATTTAGTAGTGTGATTACTGGAAACCTGGTCAAGATTCTTAGGAAGAGGCAACATTTACTTCTATATTATGTCTTTCATTCTCTGAGCTAATCATTTATGATCTTTCCAGACACGTCAACATTATAATTTTTAAAACTTTGAATTTCTAACTATACTTTCCTTGACTGTACCTTTAGATTTTCTATCCTTTCAAAGTTGTGACCAGTATACCTGAACACATTCTTTCAATTTACTTCTTCCAATTGTTGCTGTATCTAGTTTAGGTTTGTGTTTGAAACATTTAACTCTATGTGAAGAATTAGAGGTACAGTGTGAACATACATAATCATTAAAAAAAATGCAAGACTGATGGACATCCTGATCACATATGAGAGCAAAAGATGGGCACACAAAGCGCTGTCCTATGAGTTTTGGGTGAAAGGAATCACTCCCATATCCATGTCCACCTTGAATTCACACCAGACTTCCTTTTTTATCCATGCTGTGGTGGTGAGCCATAGAGTTGATATCAACTCATAGCTGACCCTCCAGTGGGTTTTCAGAGACAGTAAATAATATGGGAGAAGATAGTTTTTTATTCTCCTTTAGAATAGCTGGTAGACCTGAACACTATGTCTTTGAGATTGCATTACAGCTTCTCATTATTAGACTACCTTGTTTTTACTAGATCCTGTCGAGTTCAGTACAACTCAAAGCGACCCTGTGAACCATGGATCCAAAACCTGCTCTATTCTGTGCCATCTTCATAATCTCTCACATATTTAAGCCCATTGCTGCAGTCACTGTGTCAATGCACCTGATGAAGGATCTTCCTCTCCATCACTGACCCTCTACATTTCGAAGAATGTTGTCCCTCCTCAAGGAATAGCCCCTTCTAGCAACATACCCAGTGTATCTGAGAAGCAGCATTGTTATCTTTGCCTTCAAGGAACAGTTTGGCTGCATCCTTTCTAAGACATAACTTTTTGTTCTTTTGGCAGTCCAAGGGATGCTCTTTTTCAACACCTCAGCTCAAAGGTATCAAACCCAGCTTCAAGATATAATGCTATTGAAAAGACTGTAATCCTACCAATTGTTGAAACTGTGAAATACCCTCAAGTTTTTTTATTTTTTTTCAAACAGGTGTCAAAAGTTATGTTTCTCTTGAAAATGTAAAATATCTCATCGTTCTCTCTCATAAAATCTGCACATTATGGAATTATAACTATTATAATTTCCCCCTCCACCAAATCCACTACAGCAATATCATTTGTGATTTAGAAGGGCAGGGTTGGTGGAGGTATGGCTAGGGCTAGGAATTGTGGCAAAAAATGTTCATGGTTCACAAAATATGAATTAAAATAAAGCGGTAGATAACTTTTTAATAATAGGGTCACTTGTTCATATAATTCACTTCCTTGCTCTCAATATTTGTTTCATATTTTTAAAAATGACCACAGTTGCCCATGATAAAAAAGGCAAAGCAAAATAGAAATGAAATAAATCTAGTGTCTTATGCTCCTCTATAGAATGCCAATCCTGTTTACCCTGAGCTACTAACTAAAATATAACTAAAAATCAAACACACACACGCACACGTACACATATACACACTCACACAGAGTTGTACAGATGCATGTATACATATAATTTGCTTTTAATCTTCTATAGCATATACATATTTAATTTTTCTTTTCATTGTTCTTATTTTTAGGTTTATTTTTGATTGTCCAAAGGACAGAGGAATTTTGTTTCCTTTATGTTGAAGTATAAGCCACACTAAAATGTGGAGTCTTTGATCCTATATTATACATATAGTATTTAGGAATTTTTCATCATGCATTTTTCTTTATCTTTGTTATCAGTTAGTTCCTTTTACAAAAAACCTTCACTGAGATTGCGTTTCAGAAATACATCCATTTTAAGTAAACAGATGAATTTTAGTATTTTTAGTTGTGCCATCATTATTATATCTACTTGTAGAATATGTCTATAGTTCTTAAAAAAATGTTTTCTTGTGGCAGTTTTTAGTAAATTCCCACTCCCATTTCTAACTGTCTAACTTACCAATCATGCCACGTTTTCCCCAGCAATTGGTTCCTTCTGATCATCGTCCTCAGCTTTAAGCAACACCCATCCCTCCTTGTACTTCTCCCAGGACAGACTTGTTTATTCTTTAGACAGTTCATAGTGGTTTCATATTTTTCATCAATATTCAAATTAAGAACATCAGTTCTTTTGTCTTTCTTATCATCATTCAGTTTCCACATGCATATAATGTAATTGAAAAATATCATTGGTTAAATAAGGCACACATTAGTTCTTATATTTGCTTTTTAACCTTTTAAAGAAATTTTACAACATATTTTTACAATTTGCATAATTTGATTTCTTGACAATTACACAGTTATTTTTTATAGAGCCAAGTGAAATATTTGACAATTTTGATCTTCTCTCCGTTTATCATGATGCTATGATTGTGAGGATATTTATTTACTGGTCCTACTGTGAGGAGTTTGTTTCTCTTATGTTGAAGTATAATTCATATTGAAAACTGTAGTTTTTGACTTTGACTAGTAAGTGGTTCAAATCTTCTTTGCTTAAAGCAAAGAAAGTTATTTCATCTGCATACTACGGGTTGTTGATGAGACTTTTTCCAATCTTGATGCCATGCTTTTCAAATCATGCCCTCAGATTATTTGCTTACTGTACAGAC